TACATTTCTTTGATCAGCACTGTAAATATATGCAAATCAGTTGTGACTAAAAGTTATTGTATAGTTATAATATTTTCTTAGGATTCTAGGAATAAATGAACAGTGTTGATTGACAATGAACTGACAATGAACTTTATGTCATCAGTCACTGACAAACTAGATTTCATCCCCAAATATTTTACTTGTAATAAATATCAAGGCTAGACTTACCTTTCTTAGCTATTCCTACAGCATTTAAAGATAAAATAAAATTTTTAGAAATTAAGATTAAGATAATTGGACCTTATCAATTCTCTCTTCCTTTCTAATTGACAAATAAAATATGTATACATAATGGAGATGGCTAAATCAAGCATAACCTCACATATATATCATTTTTGTCATGAGTACACAAAATTTAGCCCCAGCTATTTTCAACTATACAATACATTATTATTAACCATAGTCACTATGTTATATAATAGATCTGTTGAACTTATTCCTCCTGTTTATAAGACATTTTATATCCTCTGGCTAATATCTTCTACTTCTTTAGTCATTGGTAACCACCACTCTCTTCTCTCTGCTTCTGAATTCTATTTTTAAAACGATACCACAAAGTCCACCAGGTTTATCTATCTTGTTACAAAGGACAGGATTTTTTTAAATTGTTCTTATTTCTAATTTGAGCCCAATATTATAGTTTTAGTATGGCAGATTGAACAGATGAGGGATAAAATGAAAAATTTCAGCTCTTGGTGTAGAGGTAAAAAATACTATGTCTTGTTATCTTTTCCAATTTTGATGTAAATGAGAAAAAAATGTCATCATGGAAATCGCTTACTATTATATCAATTTTATACAGACTTGACCTTGACCACAGAAACATGCTTTGAAAAGTTGAAATGTACCCAGCTAAGTAATATACATTAGTCATTAACATTAACTCAATTTTCAGATAAATAATAAATCTCTTTTGATTTTATAGCTAGAAGTTAATCCAGTAGAGTGGTTATCATCAACTCCAAGCCTTTTGGGGTTTTTAATTGTTCTACTYAAATGAAAACCTTTATGCCAGCTTTTGTTATCACCCAATTAATTCTCAAACCAATTAAGATAAAATCATACATAATAATTTCCTACTTATTACTAAGTATATAAAATTTGCCTCCATCACTTGGTTCTTTTGACCCACCATTGACAACTCCTGATTAGTGGAGCTCCAGTACTCTGTGCTTCTTTGCTTATTAGCATTAATGGACATTTGGAAAAAGACACCCACTTCAATTTGCTAATTCAAATTACACCGAACATTCCCTACAATCAGAGTAGCTTTATAATTGTTTGTCTTTGAGTACCAGACTTTACATTATTTGTTTGTTTTTAACATCACTGCTGCTTGAGAACAATAGGCTACTAAAACAATGTGAAATGATTAATTTGAAGATTGGCTGGTTATCACTTTTGTTCACAAAACCTTCTGAGACTAACAACATAAATGTCAGAAGTAACTATTATTTTTATGTTTGTAATATCAAGGAGTGCAAATAATGTTTCCCAATATTTTTGACTTAGGTAATTGACTGTTTTTTAAATTCTAGACAATCTACTATTTAAAAATACTCATATTTAAAATATTCATTCCTATATTTTTTTAAAAAAATTGAGTATTTTTAGCTAACATATTTAAGAAAACCCCCAGAATTGTACATATTAAGGGACTACCAAGTGATTTTTCAATACATGCAAGTACTCTGGGATAGTATTATGAAAAAAGTCTCAAATTGTGTTTGACTATATTGTGCTCTTTCGAAAAAACATTTTCAATAAGCACAAGCACTRTGTAAATTTAAATTTATTGCAACATTATTGTGAAATTTAGTGTTCATATATTTTTGCCATCTGGATTTAAAAATAATTAGTCAAGTTTATTTCAGAAAATTAGGGCATTTATGCTTTACTCATACAAGTGAATTCAGCTAAAGTATTTTATCTATCTATCTATCTATCTATCTATCTATCTATCTATCTATCTATCTATCTATTTTATTGGGGATTGAACTCAGGGTGCTTTAGCACTCCTGTGATAAGTCCCCAGTCCTTTTTAATTTTATTTTGAGATAGGGTCTTGCTAAATTGTTTAGGGCCTCACTAAATTGTTGAGGCTGACCTCTAAATTATGATTCTCCTGTCTCAACTTCCCGAGTCACTGAAATTATAGTCATGTGTCATTATACCTAGCCCAGTTAAAGTATTTTAAAGAAAAAAGTATTTTTAACCATATAATAAATTAATTGCTGTTCATACAAAATTCTGGGGGTAAACCCTACATGTATTATCTATTTGAAATTAATTTATATGCATGAACATCTGAAATGTCAATAAATTAACTCATTTCATATGTGTTTTTATAAAATATCATTAATATAATATTTCTGAATTCTCATTATACCTGCATATAAACTAGGACACAATATCCATTGTTCCTTTATACTTTTCCTAATGAATATAATAATAGCTACTAAAGCAGTGTTTTCCAATTATGATATTAAAAGTTGCTAATTAAGATATTAAAGACAATTCTCTTATTTTCTTAAACAAGTTCATTTAAGATATTTTATGGAAGGTTTGTGAATTGGCTTAAAGAAGGATATATCTTAAAAATGTCATCTTTGAAACTATTATATTCTTGCTTCATATTGTATACAAAGCATTTATATAATTGTAATGTGATAGTTAACAGTAAAATTTCTTTGGTTGAATACTGCCTACAAACAAGTTCTGTTCCAGCTCTGTTTCCTTTTTTATACCAGAGGTAAATCTGATTAGAGGATTATGTCCTGGGTCACCAATCATGCAAATATTAGAAGTTTGGATAACCCAATTCATCTAAGAAATCAGTCAGGTGTTAGTGGCAAGGTAAATTCACACAGTCTTAATAATTAATAGGACATGGAGTGAAAAAAKGGGTTGAAACAATAGAACCTACAAATGAAAGGTAGCCTCTATCTCCTCAGAGATGAATTAACTCAATAAATTAACAAGAAGACAAGAAGAACATCTGTTTAGAGGTGAAGAGTTAGGTATGGTTGGGGAAAATGAGAACCATGGAATAGATATTTAAGTTTTAGTTGTGGGGGTTGTGACTATAACTCAGTGGTAAAGTGGATGTTTAACATGTTCTAGGACTTGYGTTTGATCTCCAGGACTATATATACACACACATACCAAAAATATTGTGTTCTTTAAACAATATTRCTTTCAGGTAATAAAAAATTTCTTTCTTAATTTTATGAAATGTTAGCATATATTTTAAATATATGCTGCTAGATTGATCTTTTCTTTTTCCTGAATTGGATAAGAAAATAAATGAGTCAGTTGGACTGAGTAGATAAGTAGGAACTTACACAATTCAAAAGAAATTCACGTAGCATTTCTTAACACCAAGTAAAGATAAAATATAAAACAGAATGTCAACAATATCTACAGAGGCAGAAATCATAAACCAATCTTAGACAGCTGGGCAGATGTTCAGAAAAAGAAATCCAKAGTCCTAAGTTGCCAGGGAATGCTGATTGTTAACAGTGACTTTTATTTACTTTTGATTTAACTTTGATCAACTTAGAAGAGAAGGCATTATTCTTTGAGTAAACTATATCTGAATGTGCAGACTTTTCCCACCTGGAAACACTGCATGTACAAAGACATTTATAAATTTCTTGAATACTGTTTCTGATTAGCAAGTGATCTTTAAAGCTCCTTCCTCTGCAGAGTAGCAACATGTTTATATGCCTTCATCAGTGGTTGCCATTTAAAAAGCTTTCTTTCTTTCTTTTTTAAAAATGTGTGCTCACATCTTTATTTTGACTTTACTTTAAATAATATTTTTTACTGGACATAAAATTTTACATTTACAATTTTTTTAAAACTTTGAATGTATTACTTGGCTGTATATCTCTTATTCTTTTTTGTGTGTATTCTTTTTTAAAATTTATTTATTTATTTTAATTAGGTATATATGATAGCAGAATGCATTTTGGTTCATTGTACACAGTTGCAGCACAGCTTTTCATTTCCCTGGTTGTACAGGTTGTAGTGTTGCACCATATATGCAGACATACATCTTTCCTGCCTCCATACCCCCTCCCCTCTTCTCCCTTCCCTTTTCTCCAAAGTTCCTGCATTTTTCCCATTCCCTAACCCATTATAGATCAGCATCCACTTATCAGAGAGAATATTCAGTTTTTTTTKGGGGGGGGTGGGATTGGCTTACTTCACTTAATATGATATTCTCCAACTCTGTCCATTTACCTGAAAATGCCATAATTTTATTGTCTTTTAATGCTGAGTAATATTCCATTGTGTATATATACCACAGTTTTGCTTATCCATTCATCTATTGAAGGATATCTAGGTTGCTTCCACTGTTTAGCTATGTGAATTGAGCTGCTATGAACATTGATATGACTATGTCCCTGTAATATGCTGATTTTAAGTCCTTTGGGTATAGACCGAGGAGTGGGATAGCTGGGTCAAATGGTGGTTCCATTCCATGTTTTCTAAGGAATCTCCATACTGTTTTCCAGAGTGGTTAAACCAATTTGCAGTCCCACCTGCAGTGTATGAATGTGCCTTTTGCCCCGAATCCTCACCAACACTTATTGCTGTTTGTATTCTTGATAACTGCCATTCTGACTGGAGTGAGATGAAATTTTAGAGTAGTTTTAATTTGCATTTCTCTTATTACTAGAGATGTCGAACTTTTTTTCATATATTTGTTGATCAATTTTATATCTTCTTCTGAGAAGTGTATGTTCAGCTCCTTGGCCCATTTATTGATTTTTTTTTTGGTGTTATTTTTTTTTGAGTTCTTTATAAATCCTGGAGATTAGTGCTCTATCTGATGTGTGTGTGGCAAACATTTGCTCCCAAAATGTAGACTTTGTCTTCACCTCATTGATTGTTTCTTTTGCTGAGAAGAAGCTTTTTAGTTTGAATCCATACCATTTATTAATTCTTGAAAAAATATGGAATGCTTCACAAATTTGCATGCCATTCTTGTTTAGGGGCCATGCTAATCTTTCTCTGTATAGTTCCAATTTTAGTATATGTGCTGCCAAAGCAAACACTTAAAGCTTTCTTATTCAGCATTGAAAATGAAGAGTTTCTATATTTAATTTGGTATCATAGCTTTGATAATTTATTATCCAAGTTTATTTAGAGCAGCCTAAGAAGCTGAAAAAGAAATGTCCCACTGGTAAGATTACTTTACTGGCATTACAAAATTCTAGACATTAAAGAAAACTAAAGAATATTTAATTTCTGACTCCTTGTGTGTGTTTAGGCTGTTTTCCTGTATTGAATAAGAGTTCAAAAACATTAATTTTTCCTTGAAAATTTATAAAGTCTGAGCAATGGTTGAATGTCTTTGAGAAATTAAAAATTACAATTTCATCACCATATCTTTTGAGAGGTAACTGCAGACTTACTCCTTTATTCAATGAACATTCGCTGAGTGTCTTCCAGGACCTGTATTTGCTAATCTCTGAGGTGCATGAGAAGAAGCATTGTGCTGATTCACTTCTGAATTTCAGAAATTGACAAATTTCAGAAATTGATAAATTGATAAATTGATAAAGAAAAGATGTAGATTATTTGAAAAAAAAGACAAGATTGGGTAATTATTTTTTGCTCAGATTTAGAGAATGAAAGTCCCTCTAAATTGACCTTTGATTCTTCTGTCTCCAAAGTTTGTCATGGGTTGATGACCCGGATTTCTATGTCTAACCTGGAACTATCACTGAGCTCTAGGACTCATAAATGTCTTATTTCTTCTCCATTTTATGTTTCAAAGTTACCACAATGGCCAAATGATTGTGTTGCCATGTCCTTTTCTTAGAATGTAGCCTTTATCATCTGATTTGTTTCTCAAACCAGAAATCAAAGTCATCCTTAAAATTTGATTCTTTTTGGTATACACACACACACACACACACACACACACACACACACACAATGGAATATTACTCAGCCTTAAAGAAGAATGAAGTTAGGCCTTTGCCAGTAAATGGATGGAGCAGGAAATATTCTAAGCAAAATAAGCCAATTCCAAAATACCAAAGGCTAAATGTTTTCTCTGATATGTAGATGGTCAATCACAGTAAGGTGGCAGCGGGTGTTGGGGGTAAGCTATAGAAGAATAGAGGTACTTCAGATGAGACAGAGGGGGAATGAGAGGAGGGAAGGTTTGTGGGAGTAGGAAGGATAAGAGAATGAATAGGACATTATTACCCTATGTATATATGTGATTAAACAACCTGTTTAACTCTACATCATGTACAACCAGACAAATGAGAAGTTATACTCCATTTATTCATGATGTTACAAAATACATTCTACTGTCATGTATAACTAATAGGAACAAATAAAAAAATTCAAAATGGGATTTTTGTTACCCTTGCCAGTTATATTTAATTCATTTCTGGTTTAGAAATGTTTTGTTTCTAAATGTCATTAGAATCTTTACTTTTCCTCTTCTGTAAACTACTCTAGTCTTGGATTCCATCATCTGAATTGGGTTTTTCCACATCTACACTTATTCCACTTCTGGTCCAAATGGATATAATTTCTAAGAGCTTTTCAAAATTCAATTCCAATATGTCACCCTCTTTCCAAAATAGTCCTTTAGTGGCTCCATTATTTTATAATAAGCACTGGCATCCTTGATGCAATCTTTAATATTGATTTAATCTGATTCTTATTAAATGCTCCAGACTCGTCTTATGCTATTCTTCCTTTGCTTTACATTCTTCCACTATGTTTTCTCTATTTCATTTTTTTTTCAGAAGATGATATGCTGTCTTACCTCAGGACACTTGCACAGGCTGCTTCCTTTGCCTAGAATTCTTCTCTCATTTATTCACATATTTGTCTTCTGTGGAACTTTTTCAAATAATAATTTATCAGGACTCTTACAACTTCTCACCTTTTCCACTCTCTAGAGATGATGCACATCTCTTATAAGGCTTCATGACTACCAACATATTTTGATTTATGGAACTGATCAAAGAATTTATATAGTGGTGTAATTTATTTATCCATGTCTTGGTTTCTCAGTGGGTTAAAGACAAGAAATATGTTTGTTTTGCTCAGTAAAATATCTTTAGATCCTAGAACAAAAATTCATTATATAATATTCTTTTAATGAACATAGGGTGATTGAATGAATGTATGAATTGACACCTAATTAGAGAAGTAAGGTAAAGGCTTCAATATATGATAAACAATTACTAAAAACAACTTACATTTAGATTTATCTGTGGACATAATCACAAAGTCAAATACATTTTAAAAAGTTATAATTAAAAGTGAAAGTATTTTTGATAAATGACTAGAAATTGAAGAGAAAGCCATACTGAAATGTCAGAATTCTTTACCTGTATTTGAATTATGCTTTAGAAAACCATGCAAATAAGAAAAGATCTTGGATTTCATCATAAAGCAAAAAATGGTATAAAGCTCTGTGAGATTCTATTATATCTAAATTCAATAAGCGGTTTTAAGGAATCGCTCTAAAATGTTTTTGAAAGGTTACCACATGGAGACCAAAGAATTGATGAAATAAAGTACCATATAGTATAAAAAAGACGTCTGTTTTCTTGACCTTCTTAAATCTATTACTCACAGAGTACTCAGCAAATCTTGTGAAAGCCCAGCTATAAGGGCTTTTGTGAGGGAAACTTTCCTCCATAAATTCATTTACTAATGGCCTGTTCCAGCAGGGTAACACAATAAAAATATTTCCTGGGAATTCAACTTAAACTAGATTAAAAAGGGTCTAGAACAGCATTCTGCATCTCCAACCAATGACTCTGTGACTTTCGGCAAATGAAAAGGAGCATAAGACTAAAAAATTTACATTTCTTTCAGCGCTCATGTTCTGTATTTATATCTGATTCAGATAGAGGCCTGGCATTTCTTCCATATAAAGGTAGAAATTTAAAGCTCTTTGGATTCCAAACTTATAAATATCACTATATTTTGGAGAGATTATGGGCCTTATCAAACCCTTTAAGGGTTCAAATTTATTATTTCCTGTGTATAAGAAAATTTATAGAGTTTAAGGAGAAATATTAGGGGCTATGGCTAATACAACTTGACTACTTACAACTTGCTACTTAACCTTTACCTCTGTGATGATAAGTTTTCTGTGAGGACCCATGTGCTAGTGTATAAAAAAATTCTTGGAAGAGTCTTTAGCATGTAGCAAGAGCTCAATACAGTTTAATCATTAGTAGTATCATCACAGACTGTCAACAAAAATCTTCCCTATAAAATTTCACAATATATTTGCTAGACTGAAAAAAAACACAAGGGTAATTACAATCTAAAAATGGTTGATACACAAAGTGAATAAATTCCATGAGGCACATACAATTAAATGTAAAATGAACTAACCTTTTTATATTGTTATGGATGAGCCAAGGATGGGGAGATCAGCCAGAACGGGGCAGTGCTGGAATATTTCATGAAGAGGATCCATCAGTTTTGACTAGGCCTGGTAAAATTGTAAAATATGTAAAACTGAAAACATTTTTTTTCAGTTAGGAATTTAATGATGAATAATTGTTTATGACTATACTTTAAATTGTATCCTGTTTCATTCTATAAAAACATTGGGACAATTTCATGGGTAAATATAAATTATATATCAAGAGTAGGTGAAAATATGATCTAGAAAAATTCTTAATAAACAATTAAAGAAAAAACTTAAATGTCATTTTTTGGGGGGAGGATGTCTAAAGAAGATTGCTAAACTGTTCCTTGTGATGCCCTGCAGATGCTGTACTCCTGTCTTGGAGCAGCTGCTCAACCACTGCAAAAGGTCTCTGAGAAACTTTCACAGGGAGACAAACCCAGGGTAATGCTTTATTATTAATTAAACCTATTGAATAACACTTTCTACTGATCAGAAGCCATATCCAAAATCTAAGAAATCATACATACTAGAGTAGGAGAATAGAGACCAAGATCAGAACCATAGAGCAAATATGTGCTCTGCTGTCTGTGGAACTTTCCCAGATCTGAACAAGCAGCTTTCTGGGGGCTTTTTATACTCAGAAAAGTTCAGTCTTGGCTGTCCCATATTGGAAGCAATCAGGTCATGGTGTCACCTAGGTATTGAAGTTGGGACAGCATGGAAAAATACGTCTTTTCTTTGGAAGAAAAAATCTTTCCAGAATTCAGGGCCAGTGAGGGCTCTAGGATCTGAGAAGCATCTGTCAGGTCTTCTGAGGGGAGAGGAGTAGATGGCACAGTGTAGGGGTGCCGCAGTCCGGCTACAGCAAAATAACCGGGGGGTGACGAAGAACTTGTGTACATTGATACAGCAGGAGTAGGAGCCGTTTATTGTAGGACAGGAGGGGTATTTATACATTCCACACTGCTTATCTTAATTAACATAAACTAGATACAGCAGTCAACCAATAAGGAATCTCCACACTTAATGACTCGCTGGCATTACTTCACAAACCACTCCCCCTGGAAAAATGCCAGGTGCCATCCAGACTTGTTTACAGACTCTAACATTTCCCCCTTTTGTTTAATTTAAATAATGACCATAGTGGTTTTACACAAACACCACAAACAATCTGCTACAAGCAGAAGGGGAGGATACAAAATGCCACAATACCCAGCCAATTGATGGCTCCATGCAAGAAGCCCTTGGAAAAATTATACAGCAATGAAACCATTTGCAAAGATACCGAGTTACAATTTGTTGTAGATTACAGTTTGTTGTCTCAGTCCAGGTAAAGCAGTGTCTCAATAGATTAACTCACAGTCCAGATAAATCACAGTCCAGGTAAGTTCTGCAGGCAGGTAGCTTGAATCACAGTCCAGGTAAGTTCTGCAGGCAGCTAGCTTGAYCCAAAATCTCATCTGGTTCTCAGCAACACTGGAAATTCTTTCACCCTCATCCTCATTGGCACTGGGATGAAGGCAGGAACTCCAGCAATGATGCTAAAGAAAATCCTGTAGCATTCCACTAAGAAAACAACCTTCTGAACAATTTAGTACATTATCTCCAGGTTTTTTACATTTGAAATAAGCCTTAATAGTGCTCATTACT